AAAAAAACCCACCACCCCACCCAAACGGTACTGATTTATTCAGTTCCCTCCCAGGCCATTCTGAACAAACCTCTGATAAATAGTGTCCTTCTGCTTTTCTCATGATTCACTGTCCCCTATTTCTCCAAGTTTATTTTCCCCTCCCTTTCTCTTCCTAGCTCTTGCCTTCATATCTCACCTCACTGCTCCTTGCAGCTGATCATTTTCCTCCACTGCCAAGCATCCTCTCCATCCTGCCTAAACCTTCTCTCAGAAACTCCACTTCACAAACCCCTCAGCTCCTTGCATAAGTCATTTCCGTGTCCTCACTTTCCTGAACAGCCTTCAAGTGCTTCATCTTGCAGTTTGTCTTTTCTTATTTAGAGTAGAGCCTTGGATGGCTCTTATCTGTGTTTGTAAAGCACCTTGTAAATTAACAGCACTACAGAGCAGGGTGAGTTATTTCATAAGAGAGCCAGACAGAGAGACAACACTGAGAATAATAAAAATAGTCACCATCAAAGCAGCACAAATATGAGAAGAGAGACAGCACAGATATTGGTGTATTGGTGGCTAATATCAAAGGCAGAGAGAACAAAGAAATGCAGGGAGAAGGGAGAGAACTCTCCACAAACTGACAGTCCTCCAAGTGACAAATCTGAGAATTATCCTGCTTCTCCTCACTCCGTGTTTGCCCTACTTGGAGGTTTTTGTTTGGATATTTGGGGATGGTTTGATTTTCTTTCTTTCTTTGTTTTTTACAGTATCTGCTGGTGACTAACATCGGGCACACCTTTACAAATGAAATTTTACTGAGGGATTAAGATCACTGTAATTTTTGTGCAGAAAATGCTGTGACTTGATTAGTTGTGAAATCTTAACCTTCAGAAAGAGCTAGCAATGCAATTTAGGCTTCTATGGGGGTTCTTTTTTTAAAAAAGTATTAAATACATACATATAACTTTTTTAAAAAGTTGGCTTGGCAGTGTTCCCTGCTGTGTATGTTTTAGTTTCACAAGTATTTCAAGCACAGCTGAAATACTTGTGAAAACACTTGGCTGCCTGAATTTTGTTGCCAAATTTGTATTCATAACAACCTCAATGGACAAGAAACTATGCATATTCAATCTTGGAGTGGAAATGTAGTGTTCTACTTGAGCACTCAACTTTTTAAAAATTATATGTACAGAGATTTTTGGGTTTTTTTCCTTTTTTTTCCCTGAGGACAAAGCTACACTACTTTTAAGCAAAATGTGCTACAGCAGAAAAATGCATAAGGTATTTTACAGCAAGTTGGCAAAATGCTGAAGATAACATAAAAGCACCTTACAGAGCCACTGTAATAAGTTTATTGTCAGACTCTGACTTTTCATGCAAGTACCTAATAATAATCTAATATATTATTATATCATAATAAAAAAGGAAAAAAGTAAACAGCTACTATCCAGGAGGATAGCAGCTTCTCTGCGAGCCAATATGGAAAACAAACACACAAAAGAGAAAATAAATTTGCCACTTCATCCCAAAGTATTGTTCCTCAAAATACCTGACACGGCAATGCTTGGAGAAAAGGTGGCACAAGTTCTGACAGAAAAGATTTTGTCAATTGAGATTGTTGATTTAATGAGCTTGTTAATTTATTTATTCAGCAAATAAATTTAATATTTATTTCATTATCTGTTTATTAGTACCACAGCCTGAATCAAAACTCTTTGGAGTAAATAGGAGAAATTTTCCATTGGTTTCCTACAGTGCCTATTGTGGTGGTTCTGAATTCACTGGAATCAACAACAGAGTTTCTATTCACTTCAGGAGAGCAAGGTCAGTGTGGTTTGTTTCTTGAGAATGAGATTTTATAAGGGAAGCAATAAAAAGTAAAAAAATTTTGGTTTCTCAGGCCACATATTTGTGTTTGCCATGTATCTCATCTGAAAAACCAAGTGGCCAGGTCTTGTCCTTAATCAAAGTCACCATCCAGCAGATGCTGAGATAAGAGAAGAAGCCTTTTTTTCCCAGAAGGTACATCATAAGGATGGACAAGATCCAGCTCCGAGGATCGATATGTAGCTGCAAGGATGTCTATTTTCCAGCTCAAATCCTGCTTCCTTTAGGTGAACAGTCCCGTTAAGCCAATACCAAAGGAAATCAAACACGCTGGCCCTGAGCATACAGCCCCAAAAACCTGGGGCTCTCTTTCAATTATCTTGTTTGACTTTTAGAGCAGTGACAGTGCTGCCCTGAAGTGCCAGCAGTCAACAGACACAGTGCTGTTTGCAGAAGCTGAGATGAAGTTACCCCACGGAAGCAGCCGTTGCTTTAGGAGCTGTTTTGCTGTCACATTCCTGTCTGGCAGCTCCACGAGCAGGTAGGGGAAGGTGTCCCCTCTTCATCTCCTGGCAAGAGTGGGATGCCCAGGTTTGAAAACACCACTGCCACGCAAGGGAAGGCAGCACTCCCCTCCCTCATCCCTAATGCACGGCTCGTGGAGTACAAGAGTGGAGGCACTAAAAAGCCACAGACATCTGCATGCATCATTTGCATTAATTGGATTGCCCTTGTAATTGTCTTTCCCCTCCTACACGCTCACATCGATATTTCCTCCTGCTTGTTCACACACATCCTGACACTTTTTATGCTGTTGAGCACCATATGAATTTCTCCTTAATATTCAGACACATCTGTGAGCAGGTGCTGAACAAATGCTGGGGGTTAACATGGTGCCTTTCAGTCCTGTTTTTGCCAGTGTTCAGAAATCTAGAGGATAAACACTCATTTGCAGAGTGGCTTTCACATTTAAGAGAACTTACAGAAAATCTTAACCAACCCTAACTCAATCTATTCCTCCCTAGATCTACTGAAACCTGTTGTATCTGCATTTAGGTGCCCAACAGCAGCAAAAAGAAAGAATATAAGAATTCACTCCTGCACCTTTTAACATTTGTCTTGCACTAAATAAAGCTTCATCTCAGGTTTAAAGTACTCTTAATGTGCAGCTGAGATTATACTGACGGAAGCACTCAAAAAACGCCTTAAAATATTTTATAATTGATGGGTTCTCTGGAAGCCAAGGCATTAGAGGAGCAGGGACTGAAGAGTTTTTCAAATGTGAAGATCACAGTAAGTGAATTCTATGCTGGACACATCAGGAAAGCTATTTCAGGGAGAAATGCAGTGAGAGAAAGGGAGAAAAGCTGTGGAGAGCAAAGCCCATAAATCCATAGCTCATCACCTGTAAACCTATTGAGAGCTACAATTTGAGGGCTGTCGGTATTTGTGGTTGAAATTCAGTTCCATCTTCCCTTTTAAATAAGAAAACTCTCTGAAGGGAGAAGCCTTATATCAGCAGCACCACCACAGAAAGGTCTCTGCCATAGAGCATGGAAGGGAGAGCATGGGCCAGCCAGGCATGGTGGAGGACAGGGGATGAGTGTTGAAAAGCACATGGCTCTGTGTTTCCTCTTAGCAGGAGTTTGGTACCAGTGTTGCTAGCCATATCCTGATTTCTTTGCAGCTCTGCTTCCCCAGAAACACCAGGGCTGTTCTGCTTCACTGAGGACACTTTCTCTGTCTCCCATTACAGGGCACAGACACGATGGGACAGGGATCCCTAATGGAAGCAAACTCCAGATACTCCCTGCTATGAATATTGCTGCCTTCCATAATGAGATGCCTACAGAGAACAACAGCCCTCGGGTGCCCAGGTCCACAGTGCTTCTTACTGACCTCAGGAAGTGGCCACATGAAGGTTCTGTGACCATTTATTTGTTATCTGTAGGATTTTCATCCCAGGAGAAGGTGCTGTGTAGAGCTGCAAGACAGCCCCCTGGGATTTCAGAGAACACAGACAACTCTGAAGAACAAAAAAGTGGAAACCAGGAAGTTATTAGGCTTAGACATTGCAAACCAGCACAAGTGTTGTGAGTAGAGTTGACTCAATAATCACTACTAAATTGTTTATTCTCTGTGGTATTCTTAATATTCTCTATATTATTCTTAATGCTGTTTCTCAACAAATATATTTGACAAGACCTTATTTTCACTTTCTTCACAGAAGTCAGAGGGCAGATATTCAATTAATACTTCTAAAACTCCTTGAAATGCTCAAAAGGAAAAAAGGGAAATACAATTATTGTTAATAAAATACCAAACGTCGTAGTGATGCACTTCAAAACCACAAGGAACATATCAAAGAAAGAAGGAGGCTTTCAGAAGGTTGCTAACCAATTCTGTCCACATCCATTTCATCTCTGTGACTAATTCTGATCACTCCCAGGGACTGCTGTCTCAATGCAATTCACATGCAGGCAGCACGCCTCTAGCAGAAATCCTGAACAACCGCCTCTTCTTTCTAATCTCTTGGCTAAGAAACATAAGGAAAAGACAAA